CGACCGCGTCGCTCGAGCCTTCCAGCCTCAAACTCTTGAGCTTCTTGCTCGACCTCTTATACCATTGTGCATGTCTGTACCCTCGTATACGTGCTCGTGCACGTCTCCTAGGCCATGCAAGACTTGTTCGCGACCTTTGCTTGGCCTTGTCCATTAGCCTCGGCCCTCGGCCTTTCTCATCATCGGGGGTCAAAACCCACTTCCGTATCAGGCATGACTGGCATGTGTGCTGGCGATTAAACGCAACAGAAGGCCAACTGGGACGCGTGCGTGTGCCTGGCGCAACGCAGGCATTGGACTGGGCACTGCCCCGTGCTATGTGCGCGGGCGCAAGCGTGACTGGCGCTGCCGGGTGCTACTGGCCGGCGCTTGCGTATCTGGGCACTGTCGGGCGCTGCGTGGCACCGCGAACAGGCGACTAAGCTTGCTGGCCAAACGCTTCTTGTGCAGCATTGGCGCGTCTTGTCCAACAAGGGCCCTGCCGGGCGACCCTGACGGCACATGGCACTCGGGCGTACTGCTGGGCACGAACCGAGACCTACTATGCACGTTGGCACGCTATTGGGCGCGCTGGCATGCACTGGGACTCCCGAGCATTTGTTTGGGCACTGTCGAATCGACTGACGTACTGGCGTGCGGCGAGGCTGGCTAGGCGCTGCCTACACTCGTTGGGCGCTACGGGCTCCGGGTGCACACGGACTGACTGTGCGCTGCCGTGCGTGGTCGGCATGCGTTACACGCACTTATGCACGTAGGCTGTTTGCATGCTGCTGAACACTGGCGGCAAGCGCTATGTGCATCGCTCAACTGGGTGAACGTGAACTAACTGAATGCTTGCATGCTACGGTCGGGCGTACTGTGCACACTACATGCGCGCAGGCACTACGACCGGCGCCTTGCCGGCCGTACGGCGACTTTCTCTGACAACTACAACTCAACTCAATATAACATGACATAATAAGTTTAAAAATGAATAGAACGTTCGGAAGACGTCGAATATAAAATGAGATAGCTCGTAGTGCATATATGGCGCCTACGAGAGCAAAACCTCCGAACCATGAACTCGACAACAACTTACGCATGCCTGACCGTATATACTCATCAAATTACTAAGAAAAAGGACATCACGATCTTACCTCTTCGTTCGCTCGTGAAATGGCTCCAAGGCTTGCGTGCTCTCGCTCGCGTGGTTGGTGTGCGTGGTCGGCTTTCCGGCAACGGACTTGCACGAGCCGACCACCTTCTTCTTTAAGCCTTTCTCAACTACACTTAATATTATGGTACAAGAACACTAGTTCCTTACTCTTGATTGAAAGAAATTCTCTTGGTTCTATCTCTTATGCTCTCGGCTAACTTTCACTTTATTTGCTAAGCATAGAGTATCTTATGAACTAAACCACATATCATGAAGTAAAAATCTCTTCAAACCAAGTATATGATATTTATATGAATTTGAAGAGGTTACTAATAATGGTTGCTTAATATAATGATGCCACATGCCATGACATTAAGTTTTGGTGGCATTAATAATAACTTAGTCACGAGCTTATGTGGCACCAAAATATAAAGTCTCTAATTTTTACATGCTATGTGTTAAACTCCCAAAGATAGGCTAAAATCAATTTAAACTTTATTTAAAGCACTTGACTTGATAATGGTCGGCGCTCCCTAATAGATGCGCATGGTCTCAAATTAATGCACAATTTCATGACTTATTCTTAATCAGTATGTATGATCTATAAAGAAGAAAAAAAAATAAACATTAATTGCTAGGAAATTTTTAAAAGAAATAATACTAAGACTCAGTTAGGGCTTACAATAACTTGACCGAACTTGCTTGATTTCGGTCCCGGCCCAACCTCGACGATTAATTCGAATATTCCTGATTTCGAATACTACGTTTACTTAAAATAATCAATCCCAACTAATAATATCTGTTTATAAAAATAAACGTTTAAGAATCAATTATCGAAACTGATTCGGTTACTGGATATTAATTAAACCGAATCAACTTTCGACTTAAAGTCGAACTTATATCTGAATAACTTACTAACTGGGATCGAAACTCATCTATGACGATTTATCGAATATTCTCAAATTCGATTAATGCGTCAACACTGGAAAAATTAATCCCGAACTTACTATGTCCATTTATAAATATAAACGAACTGAGATTAATTACTAGAATTGGCTCGGTTAACAAATAAAATTAACCGGATGTATTATCGACTTAATCGTCGAACTTGGAACTTGACTAGCTGAATAACATGGACTTGGATACTAACATGAATATTTATTAACAAAGGCTAGCTTTTACTCGAAAGCTAGTATTTTCCTTTATTAATAAAATACGGGGCGTTACAATCCACCCCCGTTAAAATATTTCCGTCCTCGAAAATACTAAAACTGAAATGTACAAGCTTAGCATAAAGCTTATACTTACCGATGACACAACTTGGAAATTCAGTATTTAAATACTGAACATTAGACTTGATCTTAACTGGGGAGTCCTCAATTCACAATTAAGTGAATTGTTGACTAATGCTGGCTGAAAATGGACACTTTACTGAATAAAGTGTTCCACTGGTTATACATGACATTAAAAGCATAATACTTGAACGTACTAGTCATCTCTTGGCTGATTGTTGATCTTCGGTCTGAACGTTGACTGTGGAAAAACTCCAGTCGCTGGTACACTCGAAAAACTCCAGAGATACGCACATGTACAAATGAGGATAACTAGCAATATCGATAATTACCTTTCGTGAACATCTACTCGATAACGCGGCACATCGTTCGTGGCACATTGTAATGTGGCACACCATCTCCTCATCAAGTGAGTGCGGCACCCCTGCATACAGCACCTGCCGAACATTGCACCTGCGTCGTCGACGTAATCTGTGTAACTGATCATATTTGTACCTCAAGCTAGTAACCTCAATGTACTATAATGCTAACTCTCTGTAATCTCCCAGTGTACTGTGACTCAGGCATGGCATCCTTCTCTTCTTGCGACATGCATCTTTGAATAGAAAGCCTCAGTTTGTCTTCACGGCGTTGTCTATTGTTGTTGATTGGCCCTTCTCCATTGTACCTGCAATTCTTTACCTTCCCTGAGGTTTAACATAACCTCAAGAAAAGTCTATCATGAGCTAATCTTTCTTGCGATTTCTCAAATTTTTCTGAATTTGAGAATCAAGGCACTGGATATACTTGAAATGATAGATAAGTCTTGTCTTATTAGACAGACTATCCTCAATGATGACATAACTGAATAACCCTGACTTGACTTTTACATGACTGAATCACCTTATCTTGAACTCTAAAAGCTATCCCGAGACAATTAAAAAAGTCATCTCGAAATTTAGAACATGACATTTACTAACTTACTGTGGCTTGATAAAGTACGACTTCAAGTTTCCAGGTCAATTTGGATTACTGACTTGTATATCAGTCCTCCTTCTTTAACCCGACTTGACAACTAATATACGTCGACCTTAATACATGAACATTGTCTTTGAATCGTGAACATTGACTCATGACTATGTACTGTATAGGGCAGTTCCAGTAACAACTGGTCCCGCAAGTATAAAAGGAATAACTGATCTTGAACTTTGAAAACCATAATTTGGAATATCATGATTTGTGAAATTCATAACACGACTGACATGAAAGGTTGTTATTACATGAAATCATACTGTTTCGGTCCCAGCTTCAAGCCTCCATGGTTTACCCGGCTGAGTGGCTCTTATTTCAAGCCTCCATGGTAACCCGAAATATTGACTCTTATACACTGGAAACCATTACTTTGATAATGGCTTGAAAAATATAACAACCTTTAGCATGAAAATATTTTGCACTGAACTTGATTTACTGATCTGATTTAGGAAACTTGAGTCTATTCCCTGATCTAACTCAAGGAATTCCTTCTTGGAATGTGCCAACAGGTTGGGAAAGTGGGCAATTTTTCGATAGAAGGTGTCTGAGGAACGTGATTGCTAAGATTTGTATAACACAAGTGTTTACAAATCTCCTGACAAGTTGCTAACTTAACTTGAATATATCTAGAATTGAATCTAGAGTTTTCAACTTAGCCCCTTTCTAAAGTTCTGAATTCTGATCCGAATATCTTTACTGATAACATTTGGAAGCTGATTAGTAAAGCACACAAATTTCTTGACGAGTCGCAAAACATGACTAGGGGAAGTACTGACATTAAATCCTGAGTATACTGACTACTGACCCTGAACATGATTTGAGCATCTTAACTTAATCATAATTGTGATTTTTCTGAGCATAGATATAGTAATTTGTTTATAATTTAAAAATATGAATCAACACTTACTTGTAGTCGGTGAGGCGTGAGCGTGACGTGTTCAGGTTTTCATAAATTTCTGACTCGTGAAAATTTTCAGAGACGCAAAAACGTGCTCTGATACCATCTGTAACACCCCGCTATTTCATGAAAATCAGAGTGTGTTTTTTCGCAAAATCTTTCGTTTAAAAACACTGATTAATTTGCGAAATCCTGATTCGGAGTGTTACCATCAAACATGACTTGACTGAAAAACCGTTATTTTAGTTTTAAAGAAAAACCAACGGTTTAACGTAATATATTAACCGACTGAAAGTTGGTTTGACAAACTGAAATCGTCAGCGGAAAACATAGTGTAGCGAAAACATGTTTAAACATATATACAAATTTCCTGAACCGCTCGCCAGCTCACTCCTCGGCTCCGACTCTATGACCTGAAAAACATGAATAATGTGGGGGCATGAGCACTAATCACTGTGCTCCGCAGAAACTCATACTGAAGTAAACAGTAAAAATAATAACAATATCATGATCCTGGCATATATAACTGAACTGATACTGAACTGAAACTGAAGCTGATACCGGTACTGAATAATCATGATCTGATACTGATCTCGTGATATACATCACCTGACTGATAACTGAACATCTGCCAGCATAAGCCGGACACCATGTGCACACTGTGGTGGGCAGATTAAGGCCACTATAACCCAGAATGGACCGCGACCATACCGAGCGGATACTAAAAATACATACCTCAAACATGGTAGCGTAATTATAATCAATGTAATACCCAGTCTGAGTCCCCACCTGAACTGCTGATCTGAAAATGTAAGTGCTGATTGCCTGCAAAACTGACATATATAAACAAATACTAAGTACTATGGTCAAACTGATTAAAATAGCTGTTAAGATGCTCGACTCGATCTGAATGGTTAACTGGAATCATCTCGGGGTCTAACTTAACTGATAAGAAAAACTGAACTGAACTGGTACTGCTAAACTGAATTGAACTGACTGCACATGACTGATCATGACTGAACATGATTGATCATGACTGAACTGTCTGAACTGAAAATTCAACTGAAATACTGAACTGAACTGGCTAACTGACTAGACTGAAAATACTGAATTGATAACTTAACTGATTACACTTAACTGACTGACTGGACCTGGAACTTAACTGAAAATGGAACTTGAACATGAACCGGGACTTGAAACATGAAAATATAACCTGAACCGGTCTGGCTGGACCGCCGGCCTGCTGTGGTCGGG